CCGCATGGGACTGTGTGCACCACGGGCATGGGAAAGGGCCAGACCAGCAAGCTACAAAAGTATAAATCAAAGGGCAGCGTCCAGCCATTCATTTCATTCCTGTGTGAGCCATGCGGAAGCACTGCCRCAACGACCTGTGCGAGGTGGTCTGCAGTGAACCCGAAGACGAAGTGGGCGAGAGAGAAGGAGCTTAGCCATAGCGATAGGGTAGCAGCGGCCATAGCCGCCATAGCTGTAGGTAGAGTTCAGCGTGTGTGTGTGTGTGTGTGTGTGTGTGTGTACAGAGTATCGCGTGTGGGATATCCAGGGTGATCCTGTGTGTGCGAACAGAGAGTTGTACAGGCGCTATGTCGCCATAGCCATTTGAAGTGAACTTGTATCTGAACTGTGTTCCGGTTACCATATCTCTGAGTTTGGAGTGGGCGCTTGTCGCCAGTTTGCTGCGCATCCTGTTTGCATGCATCTGATGTGTGAAAGAAAGCAAGTCTGATTGCACTTCCCTTTATTAAAATTTACAGTCCTGGTTGTCTAACTTAGCTATCAATGATGTTTTCATTGAGAAAGTACGAAAGCACTCAATACATTGGTTATTATCACTCATCCCACTCCATCCAGTTTTCAGATAACTAATCTTTTCCGCCGCAACTCTGACAAAGATGGTGACAAACTGATTTTCCCTAGGATTTCCGCCGAGGTTTGGCTCGCAATCCGAGGGGTGTGAACACGCACTCTGGATGCGACGTGCTCCCTTAATCCTCAATAAGAACAGAAACATGATGAGGGGGAGGGGAAATAAGCCAGAAAAGATGAAGGAAATGAATGAAAGAAATGAGACCAATTACCGATTAAAAAATACAAAAGCACTCGATACAATAAAGGTCATCTCATCCAATTGTACCCCAAGTGAGTGCCAAACAATTGGAGAACTCGATACCATCTGTATTGTTCATTTGTACATCTGAGAACTGCTTCCACCATCATCGAACTTACATCCGAGCACAAGAGAGAAAAATGGAGAGGGAGGAAGAAGGAAGTAAAAAAGAAAGGAAAGAGAGAAACAAGGAAAAAGGAAAGAAGGAAAAAAAGGGGGGAAGGGGAGAAGAAAGAAGGAAGAAGAAGAAGAAGAAGAAGAAGAAGAAGAAAAAGAAATGAACAGAAGTAAGGAGGGAGAATAGTATCATCTCGTATCAGGCCATACACCTCCAAACACTTCACTCGACACCTAAGGGTACCATGAGCACGACTGACCAATCCACGGGAAGGGAGTGGCTATCGTTGAAGCACTTTTTTTCCCCGGCCACACCGAGTGTCATTAGAGGGAACATCTTCCATGGTCTTTGGAAGGAAAGGACGGATGGGGGGAGGAGGAGGAGGCGGAGGAAGTGGAGGAAAAAGGGGGAGGAGAACGAGGAGAGGCCGGAAGAGAAGTAGGAGGGGTTGATCAGGGGCCGGGGATGGAGAGGGGCAAGCCCAGGATGAATAGAAGCAGTGCTAGAAGTACTAGGAAGGCTAGGAAGGCGAGAAAGCTGCAAGTTGCCCAATCCATTGTTCCACGCTTCTGCTCCGCATTCATGCTTTTAGCGCTGCTTCGATTGCTGCAAACGTGATTCCGATTCCTGCCGCTATGCAACAAAGTGCCAAGGATAGTGTAAGCGCAGGAAAGAGGATTGCAAAGGTTATGACTGCGCAAGAGACCTTGGCAGGCTTCAGCCAGATGTATTCCTCCTTGCTAAGCCAAACTACTGCTGCAGCAATTACGATATTAGGAATGAGCGCTAGAAAAAATAGTGCGATTAGGTAGAAGCAGATGAGGAGCGAAAGTGGCACGTGCGCAGAAGCGGTGGCGATGCATGAAGTCATGGCTTGCTCGCTGAGTCGTTAGCTTCGTGGCTGTGTTATTGCCTCCTAGCTCATCGGATGTGACCAGCGAGGAGACTATACCACTTCCTCCTCGTCACCCTGCTCCTTCAGCTGGTCGAGGTCGATCTCGAAGTCCATCACGAGTGACTGCTTTGGCGATCTTCACCCGTACGTTGCCGCCACAAACTTACGCGCAGCGCTCTTTCACCTCATGTCAACTCGTTTGTTCGCTTTGATTGTTAGCCCACTATTCCCTTCTCTTCATTGCCGCCCTTGCTTTTTCGTCACTTTCCGAGGTGGAAGATTTGAAACCTGTCTGGGCACGCTTCCTCGTTGTTGGTGCCTTTTGCTGGCGGGTTCCTTCAAAAAGAAGAAGGCGGGGGCCCAAGGCTTCTGCAAAAAAATCATCACTCGAAAAGGAGAATGGAGAAAAGGGAAAAGAGGAAAAGAAGGAAAAAAAAGGGAAGGAAAAAAGAAAAAAGAAAAAAAAAGAAGAAAGAAAAAAGAAAAAAAAAGAAGAAAGAAAAAAGAAAAAAGAAAAAAGAAAAAAGAGAAAAAGGGGAAAGTGGAAAAGGAAACAGACAGATTCCCCCTATGAACATCAGCAGTCTCTGCTCAATGCCACTCGGGGGGACCGGAGGGGAGGCACAGTGACTGGCCCATCGAAGAAGCTCGGTCCGGATGCTACCGGCTGACCCTTGGCCGGTATCGCCCACCTGCTGTAGCAGGTATCGCACGTGCTGGTGGGTGCAGCTCCCGCATGTTCCCTTGTTGGAGGCTTGAGCACGGATGTGGCGAGCATGCTGATGTGGCATTTTGGCTAAGGTGGCATTGCATCGCAATGTGGGTGGTACCGAGGCTATGACCGGTCATCGAAATGCACGTCGACTCAATTGGTGAGAAATCTGTGGTTGGGGGAAGCTATCTCCAGGTACGTTGTTCACATTCCTTATCTACCCTCTCAATCTCTTCTTACCGTGAGAAAGTGAGTCCAACCTTGAGTGTCCTCTCTTTGGTGAGGAGTTGTCTATGCTCTATCTGGAGAGACAACGTTCTTCCCAGTGGCGCATTTGGTAGGAGAGGGCGCTGCCTCTGAAGGGCCCTGGTCGAAGCACGGGTCACAGTCACCATGCCAACCCATGGGAGTAGTACACGCAGGCCATGCTGCTTTGTCCTTTGAGGCTCTTTGCTGCGCTGATAGAAGGGGTGTACTGACCAGTCTTATGCAGATGCTCTCAGACCGTCTATAAATATTTGTGGTTGGGGTTTGAACTGTCCACTGGCTGTGATCGTCATCCTGATTGCGACATTAAATAATTCATGAGGACTCTTGGGGGCTGTTCTTAAATTGCCTCAGTCAGACGTAAGGCTCGTTGCACGTGAGGATAAAGAACGGGCAGGCTGGTCATAAGCATACACCTTGGGCACAGGGGTGGTCCGTTAATGCACACCTTAGACATTGTCGCTTGATGATGCTCACAGGCATGTTGGATACAGGGGAAGGAGATTCCAATTGAGGACTCAACTGGCAAACACTATCATACCCATTGTGCATACATTTGCTCACATTAGTTTATTTTTATTTTGATTAGGTGGTTGATAGACTGTTGACACCTAACAGACAACCTAGAGTAGGACTGTAATATTCTGCCATAGTTAGTTTTTCTCAAAGCTTCTGTAGAGAACTAATCAGGATAGAAATAAATTGTGTACAGTCTATGTAGAATGTTGTTGATACCGCTTGACTGGCAGTCTAGGTAACTCGCCGGACATTATTTTATTTTATTTATTTTTAGAACCGGTCAGACGCATGCTGCGCTAGGTCCTAGAGAGGACACTAGTGCAGAGAGTGTCTGCCTAGCTGATGAGCAAATCAGAGGGTGGTGAAGGTACAACTGACGATAGGAGACACGACGGGACACAGGAAGGATACCCGAAGTGTTCCAGTTTCTACTACCAGGGGACAAAAGAAGACTAAGGGTCGAAGCAAGGGCCCGTAATCTAGAGACTGCAAGAGACGCAGCAGCAGCTGTAGAATGGGCGTTGGCAACAACAGTTGTAGAACGGGCGTTGGCAGTAGCAGCTGTAGAACGGGTGTTGGCAGCAACAGCTGTAGAATGGGCGTTGGCAACAACAGTTGTAGAACGGGCGTTGGCAGCAGCAGCTGTAGAACGGGCGTTGGCAGCAGCAGCGAGGGCGGTAGCAATGGCTACCTCTTCCGCAACTTCTGCCGCGAACTCAACTGGTCACGTTCTTGGCATGCTGCTCAGCTCGATCAGTTCGCAAGTCATCTCCAGTACGTCAGGAGCTGGCACTAGTCAGATGGCGGGCTCGCAGTTCAGCTCGCCGCCTCCATACACCCGAGAGCAGATGGAGCTCCAACAAGTAGAGAGAATTTGTTTAAAGCTAGAGGAGGAACTTAAGAAGGCTACTAACAGGGAAAGGAGATTAGAAATAGAAGTATTAGACTTTAGAGTAGAGAGGCAGACAAAGATGCATTAGAGGGGTTAGATGACTCGACCCTTAACGACACCGGAAAGATTCTTAAAGCGAGCATCCTGTCCATGCATGCATACATGGACAGCAAATTGGACGCTATCCAGGACACCCTGGCCAGATCCTGAACGCCATGCACAGGCCAGGAGTCAGGCCAACAGCTTTGCCATCGCTGCCATTCTCAGCGATGACAGGCCCGTATCCGCCTCAGTCTGGTACCACACCACGCGGTACTTCAACAACAGCCCTATCTTAGACTGTTGCTTCTTCATCTTCTAATCCAGCGGCTGGAGCTACACCACAGCCGCCACCTGTCCCGCCAGCGGGACAACAATTGCCTTGGTACCCCAAGGCTCCCCGGAAACCACCTCCAACCTTCTCAGGAGATAAGAAGGATGAGGCTCTCGACACGTGGTTGAGAATGGTGCCAATGTGGGTGAGGGCGAAGAGGACATTGGTGGAGGAGGAGGTGATAATTGTTGCATCCTACTTAGAGGGTTCAACAGCTCGCTGGTTGAACGGATTGGTTGCCTCAAAAGGGTTCGGCAGGAACATGGTTGATTGGGCTCAGACCGACACCTTAGATAGCTTTGTGGATCTAGTGGAAGTATGTTGGCACAACCCTCAGCAGGCACATGTTGCCAATAATGGATTATTGAAGCTTGATGCTAGGAAGTACAAGTCGGTGCGATAGCTTACCACAACTATAGAGCAGTTTATTGTTGTTCCATGGGTGGAGTACGATCCGCAGGTCCTATTGACCATGTTCTTAAGGTGTCTTCCCACAGACATCAAGAACTTTTAGCCACCGAGGCTCGATTAGAGTATCACACGTTTGAAAGCTTCTGCAAGAAGGCCCTAGATTTAGAGGCTATGCTGGGTGGTGCTCACCCCCCCGCTACGGATGGGAGAAAGAAGAAGGTTCCGCAAGAGTGGAAGAAAAAGGGTATTCGATTGATGATGGTTGATTCTGAAGGGAATCAAACTAAGATCGATGACGTTTCTGACCTTGTGGAGAGTTCATAGTTAGACGGCGAGAATAGTGCTGAGGGTAGCAACCTCGCCGCAACAGTTAAGACTAAGGCAGCTGGCCGCGGCAAGGGCGGTCAACAAAGGAGTTAGGGGCAAGCCGCCAACCCAAACAAAATAGTTGCTTGGGTTAGAGTCGGTTTGGATCAAGATGTGTCGCGGGACCGTTGGCAGCGTGGGGCTTGCATAAATTGCGGAGAGTATGGCCATCAGCAGTTCAAATGCAAGAATGCTAAGGTCGAGCCGAAGATCCCTCCTAAGGGTGGGTATCCTTCTTCTCAGTTTGGGGCCTCTACGAGCTCCAACTCGAGAAACACCTAGGGCCAGTAAAGGTTGTCGCTACTTCTACTCTTGTTCAAGCGGGTGATGTACCCTCCCTATTACAAGAGTTGGCTGAAGCTATTGACTCCTTAGTCACCCAACAGACGCATCCGGACCCAACTATACTCTGTACGTTGGATGTGTCTGAAGCCTTAGAGGACCTTCAAGGTGAGTGGTCGGCAAGGGACCCTCATGAGTCCTGTGTGGCACTAAGTCGAGGTCCTAGAGGGGAGCATTTCGTTGTGGAAGTCGGTGTGGGTGGCCGCAAGTGTGGTGCCTTCATAGACATCGGCTCCACACGAAACTTCATAAGTCGCGACTGCGTTGAGAGGTTGCGCCTAAAGGATTGGGTGCAGCGTCTTAGTAGACCGGTAGCATCTACTTTGGCCAACAAAGAGCGCATGATGGTGGAGGACTACGTAAAGGACGTGGTCTGCACTTTCCCCTATCCAGGAGGAGAGCTTAACCATAAAATTTTGTTCCTGGTGAGAGACGATTTGCCTTTTGATATGTGGTTAGGAATGTACTACCTTGAGGTTGCCAAGCCCCAGTTTGACTGGGACAAGAAGGTGCTAAAGCAGGAGTTGCCTAATGGGAGAACCGTTAGACTGGCTAAGTACAAAGCCAGTAGGTTAATTGACTCCTATGGGTGCCTATGCGCACTTGCGTTCTATAATTATTAAAGACAGAACCAAGAGGAAGGTATGTACCTTGTCTATGTCTCTGAGAAAGGGGAGGCCGTTAAAACACCCCCAAAGATAGAGAATATATCGTCGCTAAGTACCCTGATCTGTTTGAAGAGCCTACAGGAGTCGTAGACAGGGAGGTCGTTGATGCCATAGAAATCATCCCAGGTAGCAAGATACCTAAACGAAGAATCTATAGGATGGCTCCGGCCGAGTTGAACGAGCTTCGACAACAACTGAAAGAGATCACGGAGAAGGGCTGGATACGGCCTAGCACCTCCCCCTTTGGCTCACCAGTCTTATTTGTCCTAAAGAAAAGGGGAACACTAAGGATGTGCATTGATTATAGAGGTCTCAATACCATCATTGTTAAAAACGCAGAGCCTCTACCACGCATCGACGACCTATTGGATAGGGTGCAGGGATGTAAGTACTATACTAAGATATACTTAAAACCTGGGTACCATCGAATTGCTATAAGACCAGAGGATCAACACAAAACCGCATTCCAGAACAGGTACAGTCTGTACGAGTTTGTGGTGATGCCCTTTGGCCTTTGCAATGCGCCGAGTACATTCCAGCACGCCATGAATAGGATCTTCCATGACTACTTAGATAAGTTCGTCGTCGTGTACCTCGATGATATACTTATCTTTAGTAAGACTGTCGAGGAGCACGCTCAGCATGTAGACAAGGTACCCTCACTCCTTCGGCAATACAAGTATAAGGTCAACTTAGCAAAATGCGAATTCGGTCGCACTCGAATCTTGTACTTGGGTCTTGAAGTCTTCGCGGATGGGATTAGGCCCAAAGATGCGAAGGTGGCTAGCATACGTGACTGGCCACAACCCTAGTCTGTGACTGAGGTCAGATCATTCTTGGGAATGTGTGGTTATTACCGCAACTTCGTTAAGAACTATCGCACAATCACATCTCCCTTGACTGATCTTACTCAACTCGATACGCCATGAGAATGGATCAACGAGTGTGAGGCAACTTTCAAGCGTTTGAAGCATGCACTCATGCACCATGAGGTTCTCATGGTACCCGGCCCGCAAAGGCCGTTTGTTGTAACCACTGACGCAAGCCAATATGGCATTGGCGCAGTCCTGGCTTGGCAGGAAGGGAAAAATGTTGAGACCGGTCGAGTATATGGGCAAAAAGATGCCATCGAAGAAGTTGGCAAAGTCCACCTACGAGGGGGAACTTTATGCTCTCTACAAGGCACTGGTCCACTAGAGGCACTATCTGTTAGGAAGGTTCTTCTATTTGAGAACTGACCATCAGACCCTCAAGTGGATCAAGACACAACCGTTTCTCTCTGACGCACTCAAACGCTGGATTGAAGTCATAGATCAATATGGCTTTAAACTAGACTATGTGAAAGGAGAGTACGACAAGGTTGCGGATGCATTGTCTCGGAGGGCAGATTATCTAGGTGCGCTGATTTTCGAGTTTGGCCTTTCTGAGAACGTAACTCGATCGTTGGGGGAAGCCTACAAGGAAGACCCTATCACAATGGACATCATCAACAAACTGGAGGCCAAAGACAAGGCCACCACTGACGAGTTTGAGATGGTGGATGGGTTACTCTTTCTTGAGAAGGCAGGGCTTAAGAGGTTAGTTGTTCCATCTAGAGAGATTTTGCGTAGTTTATTTTTAGGTGAGTGCCACGACGCAACGGGACATTTCAACTATAAGAAGACTAGTGCTAATTTAGTACAACGATTCTGGTGGCCTAACATGCTGGATGATGCAAAGAAGTATGTACAGACCTGTTTGGTTTGTCAGCGGGACAAACCGCGTACTCAAGCGCCGCTTGGGTTACTAAAGCCTCTACCCATCCCTGCTGGTCCGGGGCAGAGTATCTCCATGGACTTCATGCATACCCTCGTGACCAGCAAGAGTGGCAAGAGACATATTTTCGTCATAGTTGATAGGTTCACTAAGTTTGCTAGACTAATTGCCATGCCGGAGACCGCCAGGACTGAACACATCATCAAGTTATTCATGGATAACTGGGTGTGTTACTTTGGACTGCCAAAGACAACCGCTAGTGATAGAGATGTGCATTTCACGAGCGAGATGTGGAAGAAGGCAGCTGAACAGATGGGCAGCCAGCTCCAAATGACTTATGAGAATCGTCCCAAGCCAATGGGCAGGTTGAACAGATGAACCGGGTGGTGCAGCATCTGCTGAGGCATTATGTTAAGCCCGACCAGGATGACTGGGATGAGAGATTACCTCTCATCGCCAGTCTGTAAAATAACGCTGTACACAGCACCACCGAGGTCACCCCGAATCAGCTGCATCTGGGGTGGAAGCCTAGATCTGCACTAGACTTCCTCCTTCCTGAAAACCGACCTGCTGCAACTCATGGAACCATCGAGTTGGTGTCCAGTACAAGAAGTTGTTGCAGCAAGTTTTCGAGAACATCAAGAAGTCTCAGCAAGCAATGATTGCTTCTGAGAACAAGCATCGCCGACAGTCCACATTTCAGGTAGGGGAACGTGTTTGGGTTAAGGCTAGTGAACTGGGACAGGAGTTCGACATCTCTAGGAAACGAATGCCTCAGTACTTTGGTCCCTGGGAAGTCCTGGATGTTGTGGATAGTGAGATGGATGGTCCCTCGTACGCTATCCGTATCCCTGGTCACTTATGCACTCACCCTGCGTTTCATGCCTCAAAGCTTGCTCCTTTCGCTGAGACAGAACAGTTCCCATCAAGGAGATCTATGCTTCCCCAACCATGGATGGCCACGTGGACGTCGACGATATCTGGAGCACAGAGACACACCTGTTGCCAAGCCAGCTGGCAGGGGTAAACTGCCTAAACCTGTAAGGGAGTACAGAGTACGGTTGAGGCATCATACTGACCCGAAGGAAGATTGGTGGTTTACCAGGGAAGAACTGGTCAAGACAGCTCCTCAGATTGTGGCCGAGTATGAGAGGAAAGTGAAGGGGAAGGCACCAGCATGAAGCATCTCAGCGGACTTTCGAAGTCAAGGGGGATGGAATGCGAGGAACGAGCCCTCACGGAGCCCCTATAAGACATACACATCTCTTGAGCAGAGGCCTCCCAGCAAGCCGAGTGCCCGCCCTAAGTGAAAGCGGGCCTGAATATTCATCAGAGGCTGTTGCAGCCCGCTAGTTGGTTGAGTGGCTGCGCGTTTCGAGGCCTAGTGTTTCGAGCAAGGCTGAGGTTTTCGGATTATTGGGGTGGTGGCTCGTATGGGCAGTAAGTAAGGATTCAGAGGTATAGACTAGTATAAAGGCGTAGAATGCAATAGTGTTTATCCTCAATTTGAGTGGTGAATGAGCAGAAGGATTGGGTTCCTTGGCAGTACGCGTCGAGGGAATGCCGGGAGGAAGTTGATTTCACCATGAAAGTAAAGCTCATGTCAGCTTCTTCTTCATTATTGGTCTTGTGATTGTCTTCATGTCATAGAGCCTTAGATTCGACCCTGCCGTGGCTCGGGAATGAATCTAAGGTGCCGACTCTCGTACGTGAGATCGTGCTCCATATCTATCGTCCTCTTGTTAATCTGTTTTAATCTGTTTTAATCTGTTTTAATCTGTTTTAATATGTTTTAATCTGTTGTAATCTGTTTTAATCTGGTTTAATCTGGCTTTAATCTGCTTTTCTACTAATCTGTTAATCCTGAAAATTTCTTTTCGTACCGCTTTGGGTACTGCTATCAATGTTCTGGTTCGATTGCACAGCTGTATGGCTGCAGATCAGCTAGTATGAAGGTGTTGGTTGCCGGGTACGCTGCTGTATATGCGGAAGGTACATGGCTGAGGTGGCGATCGCGAGTGTGGCTGCTGTAATGGGTTGCTAATTTGGGCGACCAGATAAGGTAGCGCTGCGCTCAGGTACGGGTTCGCCTGGCAATTATCTGCGTGGTACGTCAGGGTGGGGATGCCATATGCATCCGTGCTCGCACATTGGAGTGGAGTAGCAGGTGTATGTGGGGACTAGAGAAAAGGAATCTGGTAATTCGGGTAGGCAGGGACGCATCGACTGCTGATTGGTGTACTGGGGTTGGGTGCGTGATCCTACTCCTCTCCCTAACTGGGCGCATGTACGGCAGAGGAAGGGGGAGGGTTGGAGGTAGGAAGGGAAAGTGGTCTAACTGCGGGAGATATTGGATGAATACTAACCAGGGTGGGCAGTCGTCGCAGTTCAGCGATATGAGTGGTGCGCCGTTTCAAGGGCCGGGCGGACAGAATGTGGCGCCACCCGGAGTTGTGTACCAAGCGCCTGGAGTATTGAACCAAGCACCACCTGGGAATGCTTCCCAGCATTTCCATGAACCTTCGAACTGTGGACCGGTACCAATGATGTCGGCAATGGCGGGACCGACTATGATGCCATACCCGCCATATCAGCCTGCGGGCTGGGGCTTTCAGAATTGGCCTGCTCGTGGGCAATGGCAGGTGCCGAACCTGCCTGCCTTCAATCAACAGCCTGCTGTTAACCAGCAGCCTGCTCAAGGGCAAGGGGCGGATCGACCTCCAAACGATCGACAGCTGGCAGCAGGGAAAGGGCGAGCGGCGAATGCTTTTCCGGGTCCGGGGAATAGAGCTTACTTCACAAAGGAGTATATGGATATACTGGAGGGTATCAAAATGGATAAGGCACTAGATGAGGCAAAGAAGAAGGTGGCTGGTGGTAGGCGATCAGGGATCAGGATTGTTGACCTGACTGAGGAACCTAGGAGAGAGGTTGTGCAAACTGTTGATAAGACGAATGAGATGCGAGCGTGGATTACGTCTACGCTGGGTCAATCATTAATACTTATCTCTGATAAACTCGAGGACGTAGACAAGCGGACTAAGCTTGCGCAAGATGAGAAGGCGGAGTTGGAAAGGCTCAGGGATGAAAAAGAGAAGTTGGAAAAAGAATTGGAGATGGAGTGTTCGAGCAATGAGAAACGGAAGCGGGATGGTGAGCGAACCCCGGCGGAAGCCTCCCCTCGAGTGAACCGGGTTAAGTCCAGAAGGCGGGGTAGTGCGAAGGTAAAAGCGAGAGCGAGGAGAATCGAGATATCGGAGGATGAAGGGGCTGCTGAGGGCTTGTGTGACGTGAAGCAGAACCTGGATGCAAAGCTTGAAAAGAAGAGCGAGTTGTCGGACATCAAGAAGTTACTTATGGCCTTGGTGCATGAGGTGGGAGATCAGAAAGGGAAAGGTCCTGCGCAGGAAAGTCCGAAGCCAGTGCCTCAAACGGAAGATGAAGATGAAGACCTCGTTCAAAACGGGCAGAGCGAAGAGGCTGAGGCTGAAGAGGATGATGAAGGGGGGCTCGCTGCGTACATGAAGATGCGCGTTGAATTCTACAATTCACTCCACTACACGCGTGTCCAAGAAATGTGCAAACAGAAGGGCGTCCAGTACTATCGAAAGGACCTGGGCGCCTGGGAGCTCGCGAGAATTGACCTCCAAGATTATGTGGACCTCATCAATACAGACAAGCCTTCGAAGATTGGAGAATCATCGCGTATGCACGGCGAAGGTCAGCTACGGAATGCTGACAATGCGGATGATGCTTTGGGTACTAACCCCATAGCGGGAAACTAGTCCTTGGCGGCCTCCGTTCATTCCAGCGAGCAGTTCGAAGGCTAGTTCAGCTCAAGCACCTGGTTGATCCAGAGGTCGCACGAATCCTGGATCAAATCCATGTCCTGGTTATTATGGAAGCCTGCTTGAAAGGTTACATTGCGTGGGGAAGGGCCTATGTTAGATTCTGGCTCAGGATGACAAGTGCTGAATGGAAGAGATTGCTGGTTGGTTCTAGTTGTGTGTATGTTCTTATGTCCTTGAACCACCGACTAACATACGTTGGAAAGACCGTGCGCTCGGTGAAGGAAAGGTGGGCGTAGCACAAGCGTGCGTGCTCAGGCTTGAGCAAACAGAAGGTGCACAACTGGTTAAGGAAAGTGGGACCGGAACATTATGTTCCGATTCCCGTGTGGTTTGGAGTGGAGCCGGAAATCATGGAAATGGAGCTTACAATTATCAAGAGTCGCAGGTATGAAGCGGAAAAAGAACAGTCGAAGGCATCGGAAGAAGCAAAAAAGCACATGCATGCTGCCTGTGGTGAAGATCATAGAACCTGTGTTTTTTTATTGTGAATGTATTAATGTTATCAAGAACCCAGACCTTCTCATGATTCTCAAGCTGCTAACTAAACGTGGTGTGAAAGGACCTGTGCCGGTTAGAAATAACCAAGGTGGCCGATGGTTGAAAGCATGGCGGCTTGTGTCCGTACTGTTTGGTTATTCAAAAATTGAGAAGGATGGTGTGAAGTGGCTGCTAAAAGATGCAAAGTGTGTTATTGAGGAGGGCGGTGATTGGTATGTAACTGAACTCCGACGCACTGTGACGAGAACCGAGTGTAAGAAGGCTGAGCTCATAGCCCTGCTGCGAGCACTGTGGAAAAGGAAGGATTTATTTCGGCTAAGCCTGGACGAACTTATTGAGTTGAATAATACTGTAAAGACTCTGAATCAACAACGTGCACGACAAATTATTCGTGGTATCCTTACGAACGTATTTAAGAAGAAGTTCGGCATTAACCCCCGCATGAATATTACTGTGAAAATTCCTTTTTCTACTACTGTAAATAAGATTAAAGTTGAAAACCAGGTGAAGAATTGGATACGGGGAAACATCCTGCCTTTATCACTGGCTGACCTGTTTGCAAAACGAACCCGGACCGTATGGCTTAAAGCCAAGTCGGTAGGTGCTGTTTTGCATAATCGAAAGTCCTATTCGCAGTGCACTACTTTCGAGTGTAAATGTGAGGACTTTGACCTGCCTAAAATCAATGGGCACGTTGCGGTCAAGATCAGCGACATATCTGGGATACACCCGTTTCTGTTCAATGCAAAGAACATCCCGTTTCCTGGTACGTTGATTACTAAAATGGGGCTGAACCAAGCGTGTAACGATGCCATTGAATGCTTGCGCCAAATGGGGGTAACCTCAAACCGGATGCAGGTTGACTGGAATGACGTAAAAAAGAGTGGCGAAAAAATGAATGATGGGTGTGTGCTGTGTGAATATGTGGTTGGAGTAAAACAAGCTCTGGATGGGTTGGTTATGTCGCCACTTGATCGAAACGCAAGTGAGACCTGGGTGGAATGTCCTAAACTGTATGAATTGGGCCTGAGAAAGATGTATCTCGATAATGACATTCATCTCAAGAAAAGACAAGGAACTGGTACTTGGTATGATGAGGCACAGGTATGATGAATTGAAGCTTACAAGGATTGCAAAATGGGATATGAATGGGGAACTGCTGCATGCCTATATCATCACTAAGGACAAAGACAAACGCAAAAAGAGGCCGATTGTGCCGTCGTATGGGAGCCCCTTTAGGGCCGCATCCGGGATTCTATCCACCTCCTTGAACTTCTTGATCAAGAAGACTAGAGTACCGCACTTCAACTTGCAATCTATTGAGAACCTTAAAAAAAAGGTGGGTAAAATCAATCTTCGATGCGAGCAGGCAGGCCTTGGGATTGCAGCCCGAACTTATGATATCAAAGAAATGTTTACTCAGCTGCCCCATGCTGCGATCCGTCGGGCGGTTGAGTGGCTGGTTGGAACGTTTGTTGAGCAAGGTTTTCATTGGATCAGGGTTAAGACAAAGGGAAAAATTGCTGCTTTTAGAAAGTCCCATGGAGAATCTGGCTGGAAGTCAGTGCGGCTACGGTGGTTGATCACACTGACAGAGTACCAACTTGAAAACACCTACTTTCTGGTGTCGGACTTGACCCTGCGACAAAAATGTGGCATTCCTATGGGGGGCCGTGCTAGCCCTGCATTAGCATGTGTTTTGTATATGTACTCAGAATATCAGGTCCTGAGGTCGCTGGGTGAAATGTCGAGATTTATCACCGGGAAAAGGTACATTGACGACCTATTTATCGGAGCCCTGTTTTCCAGGCAAGACCCCGATGGTGAAAGAATTGCGGAAGAATGTCTGGATAAGGTAGCTGAGTGTTACCCACCGGGCCTGAAACTTGAACGTACCGACCCCGGGTTGGGGGTCCTGGATTTCCTGGAGACTAGGATTGTGATCTCCGAAGCCCCGGCGGCAATACTGATGTCCCACAAATTCAAGAACGCGGCTGCTATCTGGGAAGAGCAGCCCCTGCCATTTCGAACCTACAAAGATTTCGCTTCGCATGGCCCGAAGGCGGCCAAATTCGCGACTATTGCAAATACGATACAGCATATTACAGTGACTACCAACAATGAAGGCCTTGTATGCTGGAACGTCCTCACCCTGCAGGAGGAACTCAGGAAATTGGGGATTCCAAGCCACACGGTTAAGGCCGGTATCAAATGGATGAAAAGGCGTGGCAGCCGTGAGCTGTGGGATCGAATTGCTGAAGTTATTGACAAAGTAAAGAAACCCCATGACGGGGGTCAGGCCTGCTACTGAGTACTAACGGCTACCAAGGTACGAGCAGTGCTGGGACTGACGAGGCCCAGGCTACACGGACTCGGAACAGTCTGGAGACGACTGACGGATACAGGAGTGGACGGTGGGAATTACTCCTGCTGCACGGATTTGGTTCTAGACGTTGGTTTGTCATTTTGCAGTGGAAGAGCAAAAACGGTGGCATATGTTGCCCTGAATATTAATTTATAGGGTAAATGGATTTTATTTTATTTTGGCCATCGGCTCCGGGAACTACACCCTGCAGTGGCCGATCGAGGCCTGGCGTTTCGAGCAAGGCTGAGGTTTTCGGATTATTGGGGTGGTGGCTCGTATGGGCAGTAAGTAAGGATTCGGAGGTATAGAGTCTATACGACTCTATAGACTAGAATAAAGGCGTAGAATGCAATAGTGTTTATCCTCAATCTGAGTGGTGAATGAGCAGAAGGATTGGGTTCCTCGGCAGTGCGCATCGAGGGAATGCCGGGAGGAAGTTGATTTCACCATGAAAGTAAAGCTCATGTCAGCTTCTTCTTCATTATTGGTCTTGTGATTGTCTTCGAGTGGCTGCGCGAGCCTCACTAAGCTGCGTCGTACAGTTGGCCCAAGCCTTGGCAGTTGCGCCTGGGTACATACACACAAAGCGGGGCTGATCCATCATGAAGTGGCCACCGGCCTATGCAAAAGCAGTACTGTCGACGTACCTGGCCCGGGGTCCTGTGCAAATACAGCAAACGACCCAAGTCCGGAGACTCAGGCAGTGCCCAACTGTAAAAGGCCCAGGCCCTCAGTCTCTGGCCTGGGCACAGGAACTGGGGCCCAACAGGAATCTACTGGAAGCTTCCAGCCAGGCCAAATGCAGCATCCAGGAGGCTGCCACTTCCATATAGGAAGCGAGGCAGCCCAGGCCAGGCATTCGGGCCGGCGCAGGCAATGCGGTCACGCTGCTGCGCTGCTGCATTGCATGCTGCGTTGCGGCCAGTGCACTTGCAGGGCGCGTTGAGGTGAAGTGGGGCGCTGCAGGGCAGCGGAGCGCTGGCAGCCATAGCCGGGCTGCTAGGCGCTAGGGGGTAAGGGGGCGATCAGGTGGTCTTCAGGGAAGGAGGCGAGTGTGTGGGTTATCAAGGTCTGATGAGGGTGACGAGATACATACCTGGTGCATAAAGAGAGGTCGGCTATGGTGTTGACATCATGTACATTGGTCTTCGAGAGTCGAAGTGAGCCTGTTGCGTGAACACAGATGTAGGTAGGATAGTCGAGTAGAGTAGACTAGGCGCTGAGCGCCAGATAGAGAGGAGCGACTTTGGATACTGTGTAGGTGTGGCCTGATGGCTTGAACATTGGCTCATTACTTCATTGTATTGCTCTATTTGGATGGATTCTCGGTGCAATTGTGCTCTCTGCTTGTACACGTCTACTTGGATATCTGTGTGATTTCGCAACTTGGTTTTCTGTATATCGTTCACACTCATATTTCTTGCACTATGCTTTATTATGCTTTATGTGGTGTTTCGTCTGATGAGCAGCATGGATGTTTCTGTTGTTTGTTTTGCTTATCCCCTGTGCACAGCTGATGAACATGTTGGGAGTTTGTCAAAAGAGTGATGCGTATGCGACAGTGGAACTGCCCCCGAAGGCGATTGTCGCCCGCACTCGCATCATCAAAAACTCCCTGAACCCTGCTTGGAACGAGAAGTTTTGGATAGAAGTTGCCCACCAGACGACGGAGGTTCGCATCCATGTGAAGGACAACAACCAGGTTGGCACGACTAAGTTGGGAGCAGCACGAATTCCTGTGGAGACCCTGTTGACTGAGGAGGAGACAGAGGATTGGTTTCCACTCTACAAGGAAGATGAGCAGACCGGAGGTACGATCCGCTTGAAGATCAGATTCATCTCCATCGACACATTGAAGAACTGTTACGGAAGATTTGGGCAGATGCACAAACAGACGGGTGTCCCATATACCTACTTCCCTGAGAGGTCTGGCCACCGAGTCACCCTGTATCAGGATGCGCATGTCCTTAACAGTTTCGTCCCACACATAGAGCTGGAGGACTATGCCACCTATCAGCAGCACAGGCTCTGGGAAGATGTCTACAAGACAATTGTGGAAGCAAAGCACTTTATATACATCTGTGGATGGTCTGTGTACTACAAAGTACAACTTGTTCGTGATGAAGAGAGAATGATTCCTGGTGCGGAGGGGCTGACGCTGGGTGATCTGCTCGTAAGAAAGGCGGAGGAGGGAGTGAAGGTGCTGCTCCTAATCTGGGATGATCGCACTTCGGGAGTGCTTGGCTCAGCTGGACTCATGGCCACACACGACGAAGCGACGGCAGAATTCTTCAAGGACACTGCTGTCAATTGTGTCCTATGTCCTCGCAATCCCGACGAGGACCTGAGTCATGTAGAATCTGTTCAGATTGGGTTGATGTTTAGTCACCACCAGAAGCTCATGGTTGCAGATGCTCCACTGGAGCCAGAAGGATCTGGTGAGCAGAGAACTGTTGTCTCTTATGTTGGTGGAATTGACTTGTGTGACGGCAGGTTCGATACCCCGGACCATCCCCTGTTCCGAACGCTGGACACGTGGCACAAGGAAGACATGCATCAACCGAATTTCGAGCCCCCCGCATCTATTGACCAGGGGGGTCCTAGGCAGCCTTGGCACGACATTCATGCGAAGGTGGAGGGCCCTGTGGCGTGGGACATCCTCCACAACTTTGAGCAGAGATGGCGCTCTCAGATGTCCGATGAAATTCATGAACTCTATAGTCTTGATGAAAACCAGCATCTTTTCCAGGCAGCTTATTCGCCGCTTCTCCCCTTGGATGACCCGGAAGCATGGAACGTCCAGTTCTTCCGATCCATCGACAGCGGTTCCGTCCATGGATTCCCCGATGATCCTGCGGTTGCAGGAGAACATGGTCTTGTCAGTGGAAAGAATGTCACGGTTGAGCGCAGCATTCAGGATGCGTACATTCACTCGATCCGACGGGCAGAACAGTTCATCTACATTGAGAACCAGTACTTCCTAGGAAGCTGTTTTGCATGGGAAGAGGACCAGACTGTTGGCGCCATTCATACTGTACCGATTGAGCTGGCACTGAAGATCGTGAGGAAAATTGATGACAATGAGCCGTTTGCGGTGTACATCATTCTGCCGATGTGGCCCGAGGGTGTTCCTACAGATGGGCCGCAGCAAGAGATTCTAAAATGGCAGCACCACACCATGCAGATGATGTACAAGATGATCGCCGAAGCCATCGCCAGAAATAGGCTTGGCGCGAAACCCACAGATTATCTCAATTTCTACTGCTTGGCGAATCGCGAGGCACCTGTCGATGAGGAGTACTGTCCTCCCAATCCAGTTTCAGAGGATGGGCATTACAAGAACAGTCAGGAGAACCGTAGGTTCATGATCTATGTGCACTCGAAGATGATGATTGTGAGTGCCTTGTCGAAAAAGCGCAGCACACCTCAACTCGTTAATCAGAGACTTTCTACCCTTCCCATACTCTCCTCCTCCCTTCTGAGCTTCCTTTGGAATGTGTTTTGGTTCAGTGAACTTCACAGTTGGAAGCACGTCCTGATTCTTGGTGAAATGTTTCACTGCGCAGCCAAAACATACAGCCCTGACTAGCAAACGATAACAATCGCTGTGGAGTCACTGCAAACACACAGCTAGGCAACATGCCTGGAGTGCTGATCCAAGAATCGGTGCTCACTTGTTCATTAGATTGATTCTCATGAAGAGCTGGTTGTGCACATGGTCCGTTCTTCGAATCATGGGCTAATGTTTACTGTCAAGGGCTTCAGGATCTGCCTACAGTATGTGTGTGTGTATGTGTTGTCATATTCGTAATACACTGAAAAAGAGCATGACTGTGCCAGACTGTTTCGTCGAACTTTCACCGACTCATCGGGAGGTTGTGTGTGTGTGTGTGTGTGTGTGTGTGTGTGTGTGTGTGTGTGTGTGTGTGTGTGAGGGGGATAGCGGGGAGAGAGAGAGAGAGAGAGAGAGAGAGAGAGAGAGAGAGAGAGAGAGAGAGAGAGAGAGAGGTGAACCGAGTAATGGCCGGATCACTGCGTGGTGAAGATTGTGCCGCTCATCTCCCGGTCCTTGTCACGTGTTCTCTTACCTGCTAGCCCTACTTTCTGGAAATAAAACATCCTGTCTTGGTGTTAAATTGTTTCTGACTAGAGACCTGTCTCGTCTTCTACATGGCCCCGATGGTGCTACCAGCCAGCATTCTGTCTGTGATAAGGTGCAACCTGACCTGAGTCCTGTGTTTCTCTCTGGCTGAGTTAAGGCTTTCCCCTGGCCACCTACCATGTATTTACCGAACCTCTGCCTTAAACCACCACTTCCTTTTACGTCGTTTTGCTCACCTCAGGAAAGTGGCACTTATCCTTGTCTGCTGTTGGGACACTCCGGACGATGTTTCTTTAAAAAAAAAAAAAAAAAAGCACCCATCTACCATGTGACCATTTTGTGCGTTTGAAAATAAATATCAGTTTTACTGTAATGCCCATTCCTTCGCCTTTCGTGTTTCCTGCAGCTAAGTCCCACTACCGTCTTCCCCCGAACACAACGCGCCCTCATTTTGCCTGTATCAAACTGGAAAGATAGCTTGTATACATTCATTATCAGGGTGTGTTATGTTCGGGGGAAGATGGTAGCGGCGCTTAGTCTTCCTTACGAGTATTAATCAACCTGGCCACAGTGTAGCCATGAGATTCTCAGATCGGATGGCAGAAACGAATGCATACTTGAAACCGAAGTCTGAACATCCCCTAGTGGGACTTAGCTCCTGATCTCCGATCTGGACATTTTCCAAATGAGAGCTAGTACACGCTTGTGAATGGATGCTGCTGATGTTAAATCTGCATGCAATGCCGTGCATTGAATTTTGGTTTCACTGCAATCTTCATTGGTTTCTCGTCCATTTGCGCTCCTCTCACTGTGTCTTCTTCCACCCTCTCCTTGTTGTGGTTTGTCTTCTGTCTCACCTTCCTCCCGTCTGCCGCTCTCTCATCTTATGCCTCCCCTCTTTTTTGCGCACTTTTACATTGTCAGGTCGATGACGAGTTCATCATTGTCGGATCTGCCAACATCAATCAGCGTTCCATGGATGGCGGCCGAGACACGGAGTCCGCGATCGGTGCGTACCAGCCTTATCATACGTACGCGTACCGGGATGAGCTGCCGAGGGGGCAAGTTCATGGCTTCCGGATGTCGTTGTGGGCAGAGCACACAGGTGGGATTGAGGATATTTTCTTGGAGCCTTCTTCAATCTTGTGCGTCGAGAGAATGAACGAGATCGCACATCAGAATTGGGAAGAGTACCTGGCAGAAGACCCACAGGACCTTGAGGGTCACATCATACCATATCCAGTTGTTGTTGCCGAGGACGGTACTGTGGAGGCCTTGCCCGACATGGCCAATTTCCCGGACAGTGCAGCGTCCATTCTGGGCGAGAAGATGTCCCTTCTGGATATTTTGACGACTTAGTTTCTCGATCGGGTAAGGGAAGCATGACAGCCATAGAGCCATTTTGAGGTTGCAATCATCTCTTCTGGCTATTCTGAGGACGTAGTTTCCCAATTGGGTAAGGAAGTATGATAGCCATATAGCCATATAGCCATTTAGCCATTTTGAGGTAGCAATTGGCTAAGGGAGCATCACAGCCATAGAGCCATTTTGAGGTAGCAATGATTCATTGATTCAGACCATAGCCAAACTGAAGAAGGGATGATGGAATCTGTAGGTCACGTAAATAATAAACCTATTTATCATTGGTGAATGCAGTTGAAGAAAGGTCATGCAGAAAACAACGGATTTTTCTGGAAGCAAGATTTGTGCCCGTGATGGGAAGCTGTGAGAGCAGAGAGCGTTAGGGAAGAGGCTTCCCATCGACGTGTTGGTCGAGGAATGCAGGTCTCCACCTGTATGTGTATTGTGAGATGGTCATGAGGAGGACGGAGGTGTGTGCAAATCCATGAACAGGTATTTATGTATGCTCGTGCATCTATTCATCTGTTTTTGGCTTGCGTTTGAGTATTTGTCTGATCTGGTAGGTCGGCACTTTTTCGAACGGCATTCTGTGGAAATGTAGGTAAAGTTTTTCACAGCGTTATCAGGAACTGTTTTAGTCATTGTAAAACGCTTGGAAAAAGAAATGAACATGAAAAACAAGTTTGCCTTTAATTTCTGGGTTGAGATGTGGAGGGATTCCCGGCCTCCTTTTGCTCTATATATAATGAAGCATGCTATTCTTTAAAAATAAATTTAAAAAAAATGCCTTTTAATGAAACATCGTTCATCTGTACTGCATTGCTTGCTTGCAGTTATTCAGTACATTCATCCTGTTTAACAGAAGCACCTTGTCTTGTCTTGTCGGCGTCGTCTTCTTCCCCTTCTCCTTCTTCTTCTTCCCCTTCCCCTTCTTCTTCTTTCCCTTCTTCTTCTTCTTCTTCCCCTTCTTCTTCTTCTTCCCCTTCTTCTTCTTCTTCTTCCCCTTCCCCTTCTTCTTCTTCCCCTTCTTCTTCTTCTTCTTCCCCTTCTTCTTCTTCTTCCCCTTCTTCTTCTTCTTCTTCCCCTTCCCCTTCTTCTTCTTCTTCTTCTTCTTCTTCCCCTTCCCCTTCTTCTTCCCCTTCTTCTTCCCCTTCTTCTTCTTCTTCCCCTTCCCCTTCTTCTTCTTCCCCTTCTTCTTCTTCTTCCCTTTCCCCTTCTTCTTCTTCCCCTTCTTCCCCTTCTTCCCCTTCTTCTCCCCCTTCTCCCCCTTCTTCCCCTTCTTCTCCCCCTTCTTCCCCTTCTTCTTCCCCTTCTTTCCCTTCTTCTTCTTCCCC